GACAAGGGTGCAATGCTTGGCGCTGTCCTTCAACACACACCAAGACTGGCTCTATGCTTGGATCATCTGCACTTAGATTTGTGCACCCAACGGGATGGGTTCACTGGTATTGTAGCAGTGGAGAAAGGAGCTTCCTGAACTAAAACAGATCATTCAAAAAAAATCCACAGAGTGAAACAGGCTTGAAAAATGTATTTTCATCTGGTATTATTGGTATTTTCTGTATGTTCTCTTATTCTTCTGTTATTTCTATTATTTTCTGTCAACCACCTGAGTGCTCCCCTCCCTGAGTCTCACTATGCGGAACCTTCCAGGAAGGCTCCCACTGCAACTTCCCAATAAAGCCTGCCAGATTCCCAAAGTGCTTGTGAAGAAGCTTCCTTAACTGCATCAGCAACCAACTAGCCACACTATCCAGACCAATTAAACTGTATTTAACGTATAATAAACCAGTGCTGATCTTAACCCGATGCAAATGCAGTGTGGGTAAGACAACACCCCATGAACCCTCATGAATGGAATCAGTGCAAAACCCCTCAAAACCTCGTGCCTTGGGGCTGAGCAAGGATCACTACCACAGAACCAAAAACCCTCTTCCCAGCAGTTATTAGAAATTGCTCCTGGTGCCAAAGGAGAGACAAAACAGCCCTGCAAATGGGAGAGATGCAAGCCCCCACCCCACCACAGCATCATGCTTTCTTCACGTGTGTCCTGCAAATGAAACGGCCACTGAGAGCCCAAGCAACGCAAAACCCAACGGCCTGGAGCTGCTGCCACCTGCTCCGACACTGAGCGGCGTCGCCACGGCCGGGCAAGCACAGAACTGCCACACGCAAAACACTATTCGTGTCCGGAACCAAAGTTGTTTGTAACTGTTGTTTCCATGAAGGTTTGTGCCTTTCAGCAGAAGTGATTCATGAATTTTGTTTTCAATGTTGAAAAATTCGAACCAAGGAAATTCAGTCAACCAGCCAGTAAAGAATGAAGACTTGTATGTTTTCTATTAGAAAGAAATAAAACTAAAAGTTCTATACATGTCTTAGCCGCCCACAAATCCTCTAGCAGCGAAAAAAAAATGCAGTAACTAAATTTCTTGTATTTGTTCTAAATTAAGACACTGTGGCTTTTACCAGTTGACACACACTGGGTAAGCAACGTTTGGTTTTAATCGATTCTCTGTGTGGTATTTACCTACTCCTGTGTTATAACGTTCTTATAGAAACGAATCAGCCAATGCTTTTGTAACCGTGGAAAGGGGGCAGAGACTTGCAGGAGGAAACTCCCCCGGGAGTTGCTCCTAAAGCTCCACTTCCTAAGATGCGACATCACTAACCTCAAAAACGCAGGAAGTCATGAGCTTGCCCTCCAAATCAAGACATTTAAAATGCATATTGGCATTATTTTAAAGGCACAAGTGTTACTTAAATTGGCCTTTTCAACATTAAGACTTTCAAGTCAACTTTCTCTTTTTTTTTTTTTTTCTCACCCCTGCCCCTTAATCATAAAGCCCAGAAATACATCCAAATTTAATATTCTCCCATGGACAGTTATTTCACAGTTAGTGGGCTCCAAAGCCCAACAGTGCTAAGGCCTAACAGAGCCCAAGGGCAGCACAGCCCTGCAGGGGCAGACACGCTTCCGAACACTCGGCCGTTCATCCGGGTAGCACGGGTTGCAATCCGAGGGAGACGGCGACCCGCATGTAGCACGGATTAGGTGACTGGCACACCTCTCCCGGCCACAGCAATACGTCCCTTTTTCTAGGCACGCTCCCAAAGGCTGGGTTTCCTTCCTCACTACAGCCTTCCCAGGGCACAGGCTGTTCTAAACCGGGCTCAAGTAAAACAGAACACAGCTCCGACCCTCTCCATTGCAGCCCGGTTCTCAGGTAGCAGCTCGCCTGAGCCATCCCCCAAACCGACCCTCCTCATCTCTGGAATTGTTAGGCACGGATACAGGACAGGTTGGAACAGGCTGCCCAGAGAGGCTGTGGAGTCTCCTTCTCTGGAGATCTTCCAAACCCGCTTGGATGCAGCCCTGTGCCACGTGCTCTGGGTGACCCTGCGTGTGCAGGGGTTGGACTAGATGATCCCTAGAGGTCCCTTCCAACCTTCAGCATTCTGTGATTCTAGGATTCTATACGGCTCAGCAGCAAGAAGCACACTCACACGGCTCAGAAGCAGAATAACAAGTGCCTAATGCCAGGTGACTGCCCAGAAAATAATTAGTTAGCAGGAACCTGATTTGCAAGATACCCACTACCAGTTCCAGTGTGTCTCAGTGTCTGAAGCCAAACCTGCAGCCAGTGAGAGGAAAAGGTTCAGAATGAGCATTTCAGGATGTCGCGACATTCAAATAGCTCTGCGGACTGACGACCTTCTAGGCAGCATTGAAAGTCACTGCACGCTTTCAAACATCAACTCGTTTTGACTTCATGTCACTAAAGAACCTCCCACAGGTAAAGGAGGATTCAGGGAGTTCAGTAAAAGGCAGCACTAAGGGACAGGAAAATTATATGACAGAATATGAGACCAGCCAAAACATATAAACAAGTTAAAAACAAATTAGTTCCATTACCAAAACCACAAGGCCAATATGGTGCATGATGACTATTTATTTCATTAAGTTTGGGTTCTACTAAGTCCATTTCATGAGCAGAGGTTCTTGCATCAAACTTTATTTTTCTTGAGAAGTAATTGTTAAACATTTGCTTATGCCATCAGATCAATGCTTGCCATGTTCTCATCTACTCGAGTGAAGCAGGATCTTGTTCAGTCTATCAACTTCAGTGACTCAAAAGGGACTATACCAAAGTACAGCTTTCTTGTGCCACTAGTTGAGTTTTTCTAAAACACTGTATTTTTTTTGGTAAGATAAAACAATGAAACAATCAGAAACTAAGGATACAGGTCCTATGAGGTATCCTGACCTTGACAGCATTCATATTCAAATTACATTTTCATAGAAATGTCTTTTCCTACATTTTCCTGCTTTTAGCACCCATTACTCACATTATGACAGAGCTCCAGGCAGCTTTGGACTTCACATCACCTAAGAGACATCCAACACAAGGGAACAGTGTCCCCTCAAACACCATCTGTGACTGTTCCTTATTTAGACCCCTGCCTTAAGGTTTTAATTTCATCCTCCCTTACTCTCCACTCAGACTCAGTGGTCCTGATGTCTCTACTTACTGTTCAGGGTGACCTGATCAACTGCAGGTTCTGTGACTGTAACCAAGTAGCCACTTGCAGCCCCAACAGCTGGTCCTGATTTTGCAGCAGAATCATTACAATTCCGTGGTTCAAAACTCTCTCCTTAAGAAACAACAACAAAAAGCAAAATCCAAGAAAAGAAACAGACTAGGAAAGCACACGTGGATAAGGCGCAGTCCTAAGCGATAAGCATTTTGTCCTGGCAAATCAACACAGCGTCTCCCCGGTTAACTGGGGCCTGCTGTTCTGCATTAGCCAGGATCCCTTCTCAACCGCAGCAGATCCTGCAGCCCTCCCCGGGATCCCCGCACTCTCCTCTCGAAGCGCCACACCGCGGAAGCAGCGCCGGTGCCGCAGGGGGAGGCCGCCCGCACAGCCCGAGCGGGTACCGAGCCCGGCCGCCGCGTTCGGTCCAGCTAGTTCAGTGCTCAGAGAGCTCAAGGGAAGGAGCGGCGGCATCGCCTCATCCTGCACGCTAAGAGAGCTTGCATCATCTTTCATCATGAACGTGCTTGCTTAAATGCAGATTAAAAAGGCTACAGACTCGCAATAATTTTAAGTTAATGTTTACACTGCTAAAATTAAAGTTTTAGTAGAGTTTTAGTAAAAACTGAGAAGAAAGGAGAATCTGAACCTTTATAACATACACCAAACAGAGGCAGTCGCTTCCAAACAGGGTTAGACAGTGAGGTACAGGATTTTCCTCAGCGCAGCTCGCTCTCTTCCTTGCAAGAGGGACTACGGGAGAGTAAGAAGAAACAGCATGGCCCAACGTGTCAGAAGGGAACCGAGTAGTTGGAGACAGATGCAAGTGCTTAGAACCAAGGCAGTGTCTTCAGCTCCATCTCTCAGACACAAACAACAACAAAACCAGCCTCCGTGTTTTAAATAAACAGACTTTAAGCAGTGTAGCAATTCCTCAAAAGTGCATGAAATTCATTGATGTCTGAAAACTGGTTAGCTCCTGCACTGGGCAAAAAGACAGGGAGCAGTAAGCACATTTAGATCATTTTTCAGTAATTTAGAAGCAAGAAATATATAGCGACATCGACTTTGCAGCAGTTGTTTTACATTTCAATACATAATCTTTGACCCAGTAAAGGTGCAGTATTAAAAAAGACAGCAGAAGCTCAAATACGAGATGAGACCTACTGAACCTGTGACTCCAAAGTTACACTTCCAGTCAATTCCCTGCAAACAAAACACCCTCAGCATTAGAGCCCCTCATGCAGCTCTGCTGACTGCCAATGGAGGTTAGTTTGTGCTCTGCAATCTCAAATTATACCGGACAGCCTGCTTTTTTCCCCCCTTTATTGAGCCCTATTTTAATGCTCCAAATATATACTACCTAAATTTGTATACTCTTTAACAGTGGTTAATCTTCAATTAAAATACCTAGAGCAGAAACTAAGATAACTGGTTTAAAAGGTAAAAGCTTATTGACAAAAATGTATTCTTCATACTGCTTTTAATTCTGCATATTAAAAATGTCATTTTTATGACTTGGAAAAAAAAATCTTCAAGAATAATGAAGGCTAACAAAAGACTGAAGAGCAGTAATTTAAAAAGCTCCATATGTAGCATCCTGATTACTGTATCAGCCCCATTTCCATATCGAAGGGAGAAGTCACCAAACTGCTGCCTGTCCTTTGTGGTGACAAGGAAAGGGCAGACAGGACGGAGCGTTTTCAATGCATCATCCCCCAGGCTGCCGGGGACGCGCAAGAAGCCCCTGCAGCCCAGTATGTGGGTGTGGGTGTCCGGCGCTTTTCTGGAGCAGGGTAACCCCAGCTCTGGTGGTCTCTGCACATGTACTTAATTTGGAAGCAGCTGGGTTCAAAAGTTTATCCTCACTTTTTGACCTGCTAAGGTTTAGCGTGTGGGCGTGCACATGAGTGTGCATCATACCACACAGGCTGAAGATGTGCAGCCACAACACACACAGTGCACCACTGTCTGTGTGCCTGGTTTTGCATACAGAATGTACTGCATGTTTTAAAATACCGTAAGAGCATCCCATATCCACCACATTGACATGCACAGTACAAGCATTCAGCCTTCCCGGGCCAAACACCGCATTTTAAAATTCAGTTTGGGGAATTTCTTGGCATAATTTCAAAAGGACACAGGACATTGCAAATTGCAATCCTACATATTTAGATGCACCACGCTTCGCAGGAAACACAACAACTGAACTTGCAAGCTGGGCCAGATGAATGTCACCTCCAAGCACTAAAGCAGTGGATACAATGCCCTGGGAATTATCTTTGCATTTATAGCCTTTTTCCTCACAGATGTACAGCGCTAAAGATGGAAGTGACGCTGGACTGCACTAAGAGGGGTAGAAAGATTGGAAAGCAGGAGGAGTCTGGGAACCTCTGAGAATAGCACATTTATTGGGATCAGGGACAAAAAATAGTCACAGTCTTCCTGGTGGAGACACAGGTATTAGATATATTGATGTATTCTCTAGCTGACATCTGCATATTGTCTTGAATTGCTTTAAATAGCTCTACAGTTGCAGACAGAAACCCCTGATACTAGTACTAAGAAATTATTTCTCCAGACATTATCATTTTTGACAGCCTCAGAAGCAAACAAGTTAGCAAGTATGAGCCGAGCTTTGTTAACTGCAAATGTGTGTCTAGCTACATCGCCTGCAAGACAGGGCATCCTCACGGGGAATTTAAACAGGCAGCTGAAATTATTTCATGGCCTTTTGGGATGGGATGTGAGCGCTCAGGCAGACGGTCACCAGCACTGAGCCACCGGCAAGTCATCAATCCCCAGAACGGGGCAGCCCGGCTGAGGCCATGCTTCTCGCAGCACTTGTGCTAGTTTGAAATTAGAAACAATTGTTTACAGAAGCTCTTCACTTGTGTTCGCAGAACTAAGTGCTCTACGTACCAGGCAATCTTTAATAATTTGTAGTTTGCAGAACATACGGAATAGTAGTTTGTTTTATTCAGTGACAGAAGCCAGCACACATCCGGGATAAGTAGTGTGATGAGTGGAGAACACAATTTTTCCCAAATGAAACAGCACTTTGTTTGTTGATAAATTCACTCAGAATTATACAACAGTAATTCTCTCTTACAAACCAGTTTCAAACACAAGGGGAAAACACTTAGTATGCAACACAAATCAAACAAAATACACAGACATAATGGCATAGGGAATAAAAGTTATTTAACAGAACTGCCCATACATCAGCAACCGAAACTGCAAATTAAAACAGAAGACGGTGCCCCAGGGGAAAGGCGCAGCACAAAGACACTACACAAGGCAAGTCTATGAAGCCTCGACTGCTCGACCGAAGACAAAAATGTGAGTCTCCCTCTTCAGAAGTCCCAAGGACACAAAGTGAAAAGTTAATGATCAGAGTCACTACACATTTCAAACTTTCTTATGACCTAAAAACCGGTATAATACAGGAAATGTTTCCTATTATGCATTAACTTCAGATCTGATTCCCAAAAAGGTTAAAAATAAGGGTAAAAACCCTCTAAGAAAACAAAAACAATGCACTTTCATTGCAATACGGTAGTCAAAGTCCAGTGCAACAGTTAAAACGCCTGACTGGTTTAAGTTCAGCATAGTAGTATCCCCCTACTAACCAGCTTTTACAAGATAATGAATAAAAATAATTCTGATGTATTATTACTTTGCACAGTAAAAGGACAGAGAAAAGGACAGCCTCTCCAGTGTGATGGAAGTCACTGGGCTGAGTTTAATGTAAGCGGTTTCTCCCTTTGCTATTATTATCTTCATAAGAAAATTGAGTTCTACGGGTTTTGTATGCAGAGACCTGGAGCAACTCGAGACACGTAATGGTTATAGCAAGAGCCCAAGAGAACCGTTAACTGCTGCTCACACCAACCAGAGCTGAGGAACCACCACGGCCTGGGAAAGACCCCCAACCCACAGCACGAGTCGCTCCCAAAGTAACGCACCCAGCGACAGACACCGCACTGGAAAGCCAGAAGCCTAATCCCAGGCTTGGTTGGTGGTTTGACTTTTATCAATTCACTCTATAATTGCATCTCTGCTTCAGTTTCCCCAATGATAAAATAAGATTAATAATGCTGCAATTCTTATACAAAACTTTGAAATATATAGCTTTATCTGCAGAAAAGCCAGACATTCATTTTAAAGTTTACAAAGCGTCATTGCCAATAAAATAGCCTGTTCCTTTTAATTTCATATTTAAGCATTACTCCACTGAGGTCTGAGGAGCTTCATTTATTTCTGATTCTACAAGTTAACAAAAAAGACTTTCCTTGGAGTTGTAATTCATTAGTTCCATGTTTCATCAAACATGCTTTTGTTAAATGCTGCCTGGTGCATTACTCAAGGTCAAATCACAGGCAACTGAGCAGCTCCTGTCCCCCTTCTCTGGTCTCCATGTCTACCACAGAAGGCTAATTATTTGACAACAAAACGTGAGAAGTGCATTTCCTCCCCTAGAGTCACGTTTGTTCATTGTTTCACATCTATTTTGCTTCCAAAGCATGAATTCATGCCTGTGGTTCGTATTTTCCCATCAGAACCATGGTGCTTGAGGCATGTATCCATCACCAGGAGAAGCACACAGGAGGTGGGTTACATCCTCCACATGAATTACCTTTTAGTAGGCACCAAAAACACAACAAAACTGACAGAGTTCAAAATTCAAGTAGGTATCAGACATATCTCTTAAACTCTCCTAAGCTTTGGCCTGCAAAGTTTGCTTATATGAAACGAATTGAAATTACAATAATGAAATAAACACTAAATAATTTATCTTTACAAGAAAAAACAAAAATACTTACTATGGAGTTCTGCCCCTGCATCATCATTATGTCAGGCTTTGGCCCATAGCATCATGGGCAATAGATTTAGTATCTCTCTACTCATTTCTTCTATAATTTACACACAAAGTTCTCTACTGCCAGCCTGCAATTTTGGGAAACAAGAGGTTTAAAAGGAGGTTAAGATCCCTCCATTAGCTCTCTTTCTTAGGCCACAGAGAGGCATTTAACTGAAAAACGTGTCAACACAAAATGCTGTGTTACATTAGCCAACAAGTTCCACTACCACTACACCAGAAGTTGAAAACTATCTTCCAGTGCAGCGAGAACTTCGTAGCAGAGCTGGCTAGATCCAGAAAGGCCCTCTGAACCCTCCACCTTGTCCCCATAGAGCCTCGAGCCAGCCCCACTGGTGTCCGAAGAGAGCTCCACACTTCTGGGGGCAGCGAGGTGGAATACGGTGACGGTGCGCGCTGACAGACACCAAAACAAGGACATCGCCTTCCTTAGGGGAACGCTGCACAAGCCCTGAGCATCCCAGGACTAAGGGACACTAGTGGCAATGGGGACCTACGCGGGTTGTGTCCCCCGCTGCAGCAGGGACACTGCTGGCAGCAGCCCTTCCAAAGGGGACAGCCCTGTCACAGCGCGATGCTTACGGGGCACCACAAGCAGTGCAGAGGGAAGAGGAGAAACACTGCAAGATGCGTTTGCTAAAAACTGGA